TATATATATATATATTCGTTGATAGAATGAAAAAACAGAAGTGAAACAGAAATGGGCGTCACGACTTTTGGGTAAACTACGAAAGGATATAACACAAGAGAGTAGAGAGGATTTTGTTCAATCGATTATTGGGAAACGTAAATCTATTTGTGTTCTATCGAATCCCGATCAAAAAGGAAAAATGAGACGCATCGACTGCCTAAGACAAGCCGACAAAGTCTGGCGTCTCGACCTCGTTATGGTTATACTCTTTAAGGCCATACCATTAGAGAGTACCGACGGCGAACGGTTGGAAAAGAATCCTGAATGTCTCCATCCCGGGCTGTGTGTCAATCCCTATCACATAAACGTCTCCGTGAGAGAGTTGGACCTGTATTTGGCGAATTTCATCAACACGCACAATTCATCAATAAATACCATCTCGAGTTCATTGCCTAGCAGCCGATCAGCCCAAGTTGCCATTTGCAGTCAACATCGAAACAATAATATATCAGTAGACAGAAAAGACGATAATGACAATGATGCGAAAACAGAAGGTCTTCGCCACAATCCATACAATGGTGTTGTTTGCAACGATATTATCCTGGCCACCGGAGTTTTCTCATCGCAGGAGCTCTGGACCCTCTCCAAAGGTAGCGTACTATCACTATGATTTAACTTTCATAAGTTTGTAATATAAAATAATAAAAATCAGTAATTCATATAAGTAGTTATAGCAAGTAAGAAACTTTCAGATCATGAAGATGACATGTAAAGCATGCGGAATAGGTCTTTGTAGATTTGGGGTGGTGAAGGAGTTGGATTTTGGGTGCCACTCAAAATATAGACGCTAGCTGTAAGGTGTAAGTTATACATTTGTATACCTTGAGCCCAATGAAAATGGATAATTAGGATCGTTGAAAATGATTCATTGTGTGTTATTCATTAAAAAATAACATTTTGTCAATAGCATGCGTACAAGTTTACTTTGTAACCATACTAGTTTTGCATTTATCTTGTTCATATGTACATATGTATATCGTATATAAATTGGTCAAGTGTGAATTCTTGATGAGGAAGACTAGCTAGGGGTCAGCATTCGTTAGGTTAGAAGGCCTGTGTACGATACGTGTATGATTGTATGATGCTCGCTCCTCCTGAACACATGAAACTGTAAACGTCTACGTAAATAAATATTTGTATTTTGTAGACTCAATACTGGATGAAGTGAGTGATAATAGCTTGCAAACGAACATTATCAAGAGGGAGAATCTGGGAACGGCTTTTGACTGCAACACATATCAACTGACCCCCGATTCACCCATATCCAGCTCGCAGAGCCAGGCACAAGCAGGTGCTATTGGGGCCAATACAATTCCTGGCGGATACAGCAGTGAGTATTAACAATGTCTTTGGGGTAAATAATATCGTTAGTTTTCTGCAGTTGACTTTATCGATCAGAATCAGAGAAGCGTACACTTATCATCGTCTCCACTGCTGCGCGCTGATACGACAAATGGCTCGAGTGAGGCATGCAAAATTGACCAAAGCTCGTCACCTCCACTAATTTCATGTACAACAACAACGGGCACCGAGAACTGCTCAACTGGCAGTTTCTCTGTCGTCCTCCGATCAGCTGACAACATGAATTCAAGTGAGGAAATAACAACAGCGGCAGCTGAGTCCTCAATTTCCCTGAATCGATATACGCCTCTAAATAGTCGCCCCATTGCAGCTATGCCAGCTATTCGCTCAGCAGAAGGTAAGTCCGGTGCATAGTGCATTTAGATCGTAGGCTAGAGCACATTAGAACGTTCGAACCGGAATACATCTATGTAGAAAGTCTGGCTAATAAGGCAAGCTTGCAGCATAGAACTTTGCACGGCGACGACCACGGTCAACTACATATGTCGTATAGGATAGTTACAAGGTTTTGTCAACATCAACGTTCACTCTACCGGGGAAGCTGATCACATTGATGAAATGAAAAATTAAAACAAGAAAAATAACGAGAACTGCCGCCTTAGACGGGGTGTACAGAAACTCGGCTAAATCGAAACCTTTCACAGTTTCTAAGCTAAAGTCGTTTTGCTAATAGACCATGTTTTGCTTACAATCATTGGCTTTTGAATAGTAATATAAATATTTTGTGTCTCTTTTCCATGTATATATGTCTATAGCCATATTGCATCATAACTGTTCCACATTTCTGGCAACGTCTGTTAGTCCGGTTAATACAATCTATTATCCGCAACATAGCAGTCCACGACTTATGCATCATACGATATTAGATCAGGAACATGCACATGCCACACAACAACAACAACAACAGCAACAACAACAACAACAACAACAACACCAGCAACATCAGCAACAGCAGCAACAACAGCAGCAGCATCATGCCAGCGACACACATGATATAAGCGATTTTGTAACGTACGTTTGCCAAGATGGAGCAGGAGGTGGAGGGCATTCAACAAGCCTAGCGGCAGCCGCAGCCGCAGCAACCTTAGATAGTCCAGTCTTTCAGCATGCGCATCAGTTGTCCACACATCATAGCCATCATTCCCCTCACTATCAAATCCATCCACAGCTGAGAGCAACGAAATTGGGGGCTGCTCCATCGTCGTCCCATTATCATAGCACAATGTTGCCGCCGATGCTACCACCGATGGCTCGACCTGTTGCTATAATACGCACCAGCGCTGATCTGGCAAGGGTCACGGGTCAGTCTCCGGCCACGTCCTCGTCGACGAAGAGCAGCACAGTGGCCAATGATGATGAGAATCGCAACATCAATTCAATGGATGGGGGTACCCAGAGTCCAGCTAATCCAGAGATAGATCCAAACACAAATGCGGATTGTACAACTTTGGGTTCAAGATCCTCGCCACAGTCGCAGTCACAGCCACAGGCACAGCCACAGCCAGCGACCAGTCCTCATACCCATACAAGCGAAAGTCTCCGAAGTAAAATGCCATCGATTGCCTCGAATTCGCTAACTCGAATCGCAACGCCAATGTACCCCACGGCAAATAGTCGAGATTATTTCAATCACTTTCATACCCAATCGACATCGGTAAGTACCTACATATTCTAAAAATGTCGGAGTTTTAATGCTTACTGGAATCACTAAACAAACACACACACCGCCGAACCCATGTAACCGTTGGCTAATGCAATTTTGTTTTTTGTACTCATTCACAAAGTAAACCAAATTTAAACAAGTAAGAAAGCTCTAGTCGAGACTGCTCGACTACGAGATCCCCTGAACCCTTGGAGCAATAGATATTTCAATAATTTTTCGCGTCTTTCAGCTTCCAGAAGAAACACGTACACACACACACACAGGCACGTACGCACACACAGGCACACATACACACACACGGATACAGACACACATACACACACACACGCATACACACACAAACGCATACACACACACACATACACACACACATACACAAACACATACACACACAAGCACCCACGCATAAACACGCATGGGCTGCAGTGTGCGCTTACTATGAGAACTTAATTGTTTAATAACTTTTTTTATGGACGTACGATCTTCATGAAACTTTCAGATTATGATTATAACATGNACGGACAGACGGACAGACGGACAGACGGACAGACAGACGGACAGGGCCAAATCAACTCAGCTCGTCACCCTGATCAAGAATATATATACTTTGTGGGGTCTGCCACGCCTCCTTCTCCCTGTTACATACATTTCAACAAAACCATTATACCCTGATTTCCCATTGAAAATGGGTTCAGGGTATAAAAAACTAAGTTGCCCTCTATTAATTTTCCAATAATTGAATATTAATATCATATTATTTTTGACCTGGTAGTCAGAAGCGTTCAACAGAAACTTCGGTACGAAAAGATTAAAAAATATTAGATTGAGGGATTCAAGTTTCCTCCTAACTGCGCAATCTCCGCTAGGAAGTCTCCCTTGTGCATGATTACTATTATGAAGGTTTTTAAAGCTCTTAAAGCCTTTTAATCGCTGACATCTAGAATTTATGCGATATTGACCTCACCTATATAATTTTAGATATGTGTATAACATAACTGCTAAATTTTGGTTCTCTAATCAGTCTGGGCACGCATTCAGAGACCCCATGTGTAACATGTGTAAATGTATACAAAGCATACATTCTTTTAGTTCAGTGAGGAATCGGGGTATAATGATTTTGCTTCTGACGGAACATAGTTTCATACATTTTTTAACATATGTATATACTTTCTAAACAATTTTGAAAAACACATATATTTTGTTTCAGCTATTGGGCTATGCTGGATCTATTTCGACAATGTCTGGTGTCATGAGTCCAACAAATCTCAGCTTATATTCAACACCAACAATGACTGTGAGCTCTGCACATCGTTCAAATGCAAGATCCCGATGGAATAATGGATTAACCGAAGATGAATTTAACCTAATTCCACACTCTGTAGCTAGTACAAATATAGAAAATACACAGGTTATATTGATGGAAGATTGTAAGTATTTTATGTTAGTTCTGCTATACAAAAATGAATTAAAATTAGGAACTGTTGATATATCATTAAAGCCCAACCTATACGCTGTTTAAGTTAACAATCTCAGGCGAACGTCCGTTTAACGAAAGGTTTACATTTGTTCGGCACTTCTGCACTCATATTTACACATGGGGTACCACTCTCACTTGTCAAGCCTCTTTCATGGGTCAATTAACATTGCGATGTTCCATTAGAACATAAATAGGAAAGGAGAGTAATACTATTTCTTCTTCTATGCATAAGTAGCAAATTACACATGTACACACATATTTATAAGCGAATAACCACTATCTATCGATTATTATCGATAAAAAGAAGCGTAATGAGTTATCGAAAATATGATAAACTTACATATTCTATGGTATATTCGAATATACATGTAACATTAGCTTTAGTATCTTCAGAAAGACGGTCATGCCGAGCTAAACTCGCGGGCTGTGGGGTGAGGCATAGGCTATCGAATCTTATGTGCTACTTTTACTTTTATTCCATGCTCATGCGTGGAAGAAAAACGCATGTGCTCATGCAGTAACCCAGGTTGTGTTCACTTGTTTGACATTAATACTTGAATTCTTTTCCATTTCAGCAACGGGTCGTTTCACTGATGAATACTCTACAAATGCAAATCGTGATTATGTTTAATAAATTACCAACATAATATTCTGGAGCTATGCTTCGGGCAAGCTAAAGCTGATATACAATAATTAAGGCATATTTAAAAAGAACAGACATACTGATATTCTCACATATACATGCATTGTACATATGCATAATATAAGCATAAGTAAAAGTTGAAAAAATTATACATAAAATATATATATGTATATGCAATAGCAGCCCAAAAATCTCTTGCAGCGCTTGTTGTGTTTTTTTTTGCACGCTTCGGGTGGGCTGTTGGAC